TTACTTACTTACTTACTTACTTACTTACTATAAAGAGTTTGAAGAGGCATCTTACATAATCACTAAATTCATGCGTAGAAAGAAAGCGCGCGATCATCATTTGTATATTAATCTTTCTACTTCGTTTGATCAGTGCCACTACCTTTTTCATAACGATAGAATAAATCTCACCTCAAAAATTTGTACATTTGAACGTACGAGTTACGTAATTATGATTGATTTTCGTCGAGCATGCGCAGTAAGAAATTAAAGCTCAGGTTCAATTAATTCCAGCAGTTTGAGTTACTTGCGAACCGCGAAGTTTGATGTCTCGTTCGCCGACTAGCATTTCAACGACTGTCGATCAAAGAACTGAAATAAAATAAAGACAATATCTTTAAGGATTGGAAAAGTCTATTAGACGAAACTAGTTTCTGTAAAGAATCTTGATTTTTATAATGCGTAGAATCAATAATAATAATAATAATGATAATAATAATAATAATAATTTTCTCTTGGTAGAATACTATCATTAAGGGTTTAGAAATTTGTTTGATGAGATATTTAGATGAATATTTTAGAGAGAACTAATCCTTTAAATTAAGAGTTTAATAAAAATCAACAGATCAATAGAAACAGAACCGTATGAAGAAACGAGGGCGTCTTGTGAGAACTCCAGACTGCCCTACAGCTGGAAAAATACCAAACTACTTGAAATAATTTCTACTTTTAGAAATGCTGGAAAAATACCAAACTAATTAAAATAATTTAGATACTTTTAGAAATGCTGGAAAACAGCTGCAAAAACACCAAACTAATTGAAATAATTTCTACTCATAGAAATGTTAGTTTTATCAGTCTTTAGAGCACATGTTGACTAATTAGAGATCGTCCAAAATTCAATTCATCTGAAATTTCACTTACTCCTTTAAAGATTTGCAAAAATATACTGAATACTTCCCATCGGGAATATCGATAAAAGGTTCATCAGTGATTATTAGACCCTTAAAGATTATTCTAGTAAAATTTCAGAGATGATTTAAAACTACTACGACTTAAAAGAATAGTATCCATGGCAATATACCTTTCTCAAAAATGGCCGTCAAACGCGGTTGGGACTGGGAACAAATGAATGGAAGCGAGGTCAGTAAGGCCTCATTAGGGACTTTAAGATTTGCAAAATCTACGACGGCGACGCCAACCGAAAGTGTAAATAATTTCTCTCTTGGGTTCTGTTCATCGGAGATTTCATTTCAAACATTGTCGTTAAAGTCAACTCATCCACAGGGAAGACAGACTTTGAAGGCGCGAAACCCAAAAGTGAAGTTATTTACACTTCCGGTTGACGTCGCCGTCGCAGATTTTGCAAATCTTAAAGTCCCTATTAGTAAACAAAGTCTACTCAGTACGATATTTTGTGTCAAAGTCATTCATCTCACCAATTCGAGTGCTTTTAAGCGTCTCTTGAAGTAAGGGTGAATGACTGGCACAAAATATCGTACTGAGTCCCTAGTCCCAGCCGAGATTGTCGGCCATTTTTGAGAAAGGTGTATGAGCATATTGAATTCGCCGTAGAATTGTAACTGGGGTCGCGTCAAGGAAGGAGCCTTGAACTATCTACCCAAAGAAAATATGGCTTTATTCATTAGTATTTTTTAATTCAGAGATTATTATTATCTATATATTGAAATACCGCCAAATGAGACCTTGAAACAAAAGCCCTTATTAATACTAATAAGGCCCCAATCACTAGATGCCCGCCATAGTTATTCTATGGAATATGGAGCACTAAATTACTGGGCACTGATTGGTCGAGTGGGTACGTGATCGTGTTCTAAGATYGGAAAATTCTCGATTTTTTTGATACATTTATAATTTTCCATTTAATATTTTTGAAGTAAAATATCTCTTTAATTAACCTCGGAGTTTAAACGGAACACAATCATGAAGAGCCATTTGTTATGAAAATGCATGTGATTGTGTRACACCCAATATAAATAGGACAACAGAGGCGCGGAGTTTATTCATCCAGATCCATTCTAGTACTTACTTACAAGTGAAGAAACAAGGTACTCAACTGCTGAAGATAACGTATCATCAAGTAAGTGAATTATCATTGTTCTTAAATCATAAATAGATAAAAGTCTTCGTTTGGTATGTTATTTTAGGTTTGTATTTGTTAGGTTTCATTAATTTACGCTTAATTTTGTCTCATTTTTTTCTGTGCGAAGTCTATGTGAAGTTTCGATATCATTCTTTAAGATTTAATAAAAAACCCATTCAATTNGGGGCCATTTTATTTCCTTCGCCAAATATGCTAAACAGTGTAAAATATAAATATATCAATCAGCAGTCGTCCTTTTATAGGAAATATAGGTTTTCTTTAAATATAGCCTCTTTATAGGATCCTATACAAATTATAGGAAATATAGGATGTATAGGAGGTCTGGGATGCCTGGGTTTCATTTACGCTTAATTTTGTCTCATTCTTTTCTGTGCGAAGTCTATGTGAAGTTTCGATATCATTCTTTAAGATTTAATAAAAAACCCATTCAATTCATTAAAATTTATCAATACTGAAAACTAAGGGAGRAAAAAGCGGTAAATTTCGGCCCCATTCCTATTTTAAACTCTCTCTCCGTTTTTAGATGCTCTTACTTGTAATGGTTAAATTCCTAGTGTCGGAGTGTATGTAATAATAATTTTCCTCCATATTGGATTGCGGATTTAATGTCTACGTTATGGTCTTGATTATTGCAGCATTAACCATGGTTTCCAAGGTAACGCTTTCTGTTCTTATTGTGGCGGTTTTATTGATCGCCGAAACAAAATGCGCACCAGCAAATGAAGCCAACAGGCGACTTGTCCGCTCATACTGGGTAAGTTTTAAATCCACTAATATTTTGAATTAACTATAATAAGCATTGCTATAAATAATGTCATTAGTCTAACATACACTTCCTTTGACCTCGTGTTTCATGCGCATTCAGTATCTTGACCCCTTTGACCTCATGATACTCTCATTCAGTATCTTGTTCCCCTTTGACCTCATGATACTCTCATTCAGTATCTTGACCCCTTTGATCTCATGATACCCTCATTCAGTATCTTGATCCCCTTTGACCTCATGATACTCTCATTCAGTATCTTGTTCCCCTTTGACCTCATGATACATTCATTCAGTATCTTGTTCCCCTTTGACCTCATGATACATTCATTCAGTATCTTGACCCCTTTGACCTCATGATACATTCATTCAGTATCTTGTTCCCCTTTGACCTCATGATACTCTCATTCAGTATCTTGTTTCCCTTTGACCTCATGATACATTCATTCAGTATCTTGACCCCTTTGACCTCATGATACATTCATTCAGTATCTTGACCCCTTTGACCTCATGATACATTCATTCAGTATCTTGATCCCCTTTGACCTCATGATACATTCATTCAGTATCTTGACGCCTTTGACCTCACGATATCGTCATTCAGTATCTTGACCCCTTTAACCTCATGATACATTTATCAGTTTTTTCACCCCCTGTGACCTCACGATACCCTCATTCAGTATCTTGACCCCTTTAACCTCATGATACATTCATCAGTTTTTTGTTCCCCTGTGACCTCACGATACCAGGGCTGTAACCAGGGGGAGCACAGGGTGCACATTCAACCCCCCCCCCATAAAAGCTTAAGGTCCGCTCATCTTTCTCCTTTTGCTTTAAAATTGCATGTAAATGGGTGTTGATTAAATGAAGACCACTTACCATCTGCATATCGTAGAATTTTTAAGAATCACTCACCCATTATTCCTTTTTTTTTATGTTTTTGTTTTTGGTTCTGCAAATCATTGCCTGTGCACCTCCCCTGCAAGATCCCTGGTTACGCCCCTGGATACATTCATTGATTCAGTATCTGGACCCCTTTGACCTCGTGCTCCATTCGATCACTTGTTCCCCTTTGACGTAATGATGTATTCTGAATCCCCTTAGACCTGATGATGCATACCTTCTTCATGTCATTCTTCTATTGATATGTCTCTGATCCCAGTTCTCCTTTTTCATGTTCTGACTTAGAAATCGCTAGCATGCTCAATGGGTCAACCTTGTGATCCAAACGATTCCACTACATGTCGGTGTGAAGGAAAGCACACAGTCTGCCGAGTCATCGACCAGGGTTCAACGCATTATTGCGTTCTGTCAGGAGACGTAAGACCTCAGTAATAACCTGACCCAGCCAAACGTCGAAATTACGTACGAGAATGCGTACAGCAATGGCTAGCCTTTGTTTTGGTTACCTATGGTCTTTAGTCAATTGTAACTACATCGAACAACGGTCATCATGCACATGCATTTTTAGCATTAAATATTAAATATCCTTGTTGAACTATTTTTCATTTGTCTAACTAAAGTTTACTCATTCAATACTTATTCTTATTCGCCCAAGGCGAAGTGAACATCGGTGTATATTTACCGAGACGCGAGTCTTCGAGCGGCGARGTAAATATTCACCGATATTCACTGAGCCTGAGACGAATAATTGTTTTAGTATTTTTAACACAAGTGAATTTTATATAAAACGGAGAGAGAGTTTTTCAAATTTTATTTATTTCCTGCAAGCAGCACAAATCGACAAAGGACCGTGCGCGTCCGCGAGTTGTATTCACCTATAGGCGAATATAGCAGCATAAGACGTAAATTGTGACCAATAGCGCGCCGGATTTATCATACTCACTTGTGTAAAAATACTAAAATTTACTTATTCAATCACTCATTCATGTTGACCTCCTTCTCCTTTCTTTAAGGACGCTCATTCCAGTTTCCAAAACTCACGACCACCTCAACTAAATCCGCTGTATCTCGCGTTGTAGAAGGACTGCAATCATTATTTTTTCCAGATGAATTTCACGATTGTTCTTCTGCCCGTGCAACAAATCACAGTTATGGAACAAATGCAACAAGTTAACCGCATAATTCTGCAACGCACGTTCAAACTTATAAATTGGCTTTGTCGAAAGCAGGTTCCTAGTATTTTTGTTGTCGATCGTAGACTTTCGGCAAGTAATTAGCATTTGTTGCACGGGCAGAAGAACAATCGTGAAATTCATCAGCGTAAAAAGCACGAATGCATGCATAATTATATCTTTGGATTGTAAACAATCGACAGCGAAATGTCAAAACCAACAGAGTACAAGCGACGACAAGAGAGTGGCCTCTATTCTCTAATTATTTCACTATTTTAAAAATCTTCAATTGCTTTAAAAGTTTGATATGTTAAAGTTCATTTCGTTAATTTTAGATAGCGGAAGTTAGAAAAAAAAGTTTTTAAGCAACGGCCTTCGAAGGGAAAAGTAAGGAATTCTGCATTTTAAGCGCAAAATTACTACTTTACTAAAACTTGTCTTGCTTACAATCTAATAACTCGGCAATCTTGAATTTCATACAAAATAAAGAACGGGATTTGTATATATAAAACGTTATGAGTCTTATCTTGCTAACAACGTTGACAAAAATATTTTTTATAACAAATGACGATTTACAACTTTTAGAAGGTCAAATAAATACTTCGTTTTTTTCTCAAAATCGACTTCCTTGGATTTTTCTCGTATATTATGCCCACATATTTGGTTTATAAGACACAGTATTTGGTTTTATGTAGGTAACGTCCAGATTTTGAGAAATTATGCGACAACTAAAAAGGGCACCATATCAAAATAAAATCAATGAAAAGTCCGATCCTGATAAAACTTATATCAAAATAAATTTTCATTTATTAACTATATCTCTGGAAAAAATAATGATTGCAGTCCTTCTACAACGCGAGATACAGCGGATTTAGTTGAGGTGGTCGTGAGTTTTGGAAACTGGAATGAGCGTCCTTAAAGAAAGAACTGAGAAGGACGTCAGTCGTGGTCCCACGGGTGCGAACACTAAGTATTAGCATATCTAATTACTTCTCTTCTAACCTGCTAGCCGCCTTACCTGTTTCCTCTGCTCCTCTACTAAAGGCTTCAGAACAGGCTTGAATTCGGTAAACCCTATATGGGTAAGTAGTGTGGGTGTAATTGGTTTTAGGTTTGGGATACCAATATTTTTAAATTATTTTTTAACGTATGCTTTCGTTGTTTACACGTGTTCTGAAGTTCGGATGAAGTTTGTTGAAGTTCCATTTAGAGTTGTGGATAGCAAGGATTCAGATTTGTTTTGTAGAAATTTTATGTCCTGCCTTTTAACGCATAGGTTGACTGCAGTAGCTTTGCGGACAGTTTGTAAATATTTAATTTTGGGCAACGAAAACTTCGATAAAATGCGGCGACCATCACCCTCCCTGCGGGGAAGGAATTTGTCATGTCCGGTGAAGATGCTAATTTCTCTGTGAAGCTAATGCCGGTTAATATGACGTTTGCATGGTGGCCTCATTTGACTCTCACTACCATAATGCTTCACAAATTTTCTTTCTTTAAATTTGTTTCCCTCATGAGAGTAAAAGGACAATTGGTGCTAGTTAATTGAACAAAAGAAAGTGTGCAAGGGAGTCTGGTAGTAGAGCCTAATGACGCCATTATGCAAACGTMCTATTTGACGTGCCTTTCGAGATTGGAATGCTTTTTCCTTTACGCGATAGTAAAATAGTTGGTACAAAAGTTACATGAGAAAAATCCTAGAATAGAAAAATCTAAACGGCGAGTGGTCACTTTTCGTAGAGCTCCGCTTACTCGGCTGCTTATTCGGCTCCAATCTCCGCGCGCGTCCACAGGAATCCCAAAACACTCGTATTTACTGAGTATGGAGGGAAAAGTAGGACCGCTGGCATTCTAAGAAAGATCAACTTATAGTATAGTGCAGGACCGGAAGTAAGTTGCTATGCATCCTCGGAAAATCAGGGCGCTTCACCTCTCCCCCTGGGTTTCTGAGGATGTTCCTTTTTCGCGAGCTAGTAAAAAAAGAAAGAAAGAATCTTCTTCGATGCAAACTATTCATATAATATGGAATGTACCTCCTCAAAATTAGTGAATATTTTGAAAACAGATTGAAATGAAATTCAGCGGTTTGTCGTATGCTACTCTTCATTGTTTTGTTATTTCACCGTGTGTGATACTAAATAGACTTGCCTGGAGCTGTAAATCCACCGCAAAATTCGCACAAAACATCGCAAAAAAGGCAAACCAGCAGTGCCAAAACTGAGGCCATGCGGAGAGGAGAACCCTTAATGGTAACTCTTCTGACCTTCGGCTAACGCAATGAATTGCCTTGTCTGGCAGTTTTCTTACATGCAGGTTCGCCATGAATAATCTGCAATGAACCAATCAGAAAGTCTCGCTTACGCCAATGCATTGTCTTTGCCGGTTTTCGTATTGAAGAATGAAATAAGTATTTTTAGACGTTACTTTTTTGGCTTTAATAAGAAAATTCCAAGAAGATCAGAGGTTGGGGTTTTCATGTTATTAAACATCTCAGTTAACAAAAAGGACCAAATTACGGTGATAAAACTAGCTATACGATACTTTTATAGCGAGAGCCATCAAAATCTCAGAAAAATATTAGAAGAGGGCTAAGCGCAGGGTGCACATTCAAATCTTATTTGAGGGGAAAAAAATACCAGTAAATAAATTAACTACTTTTATTTCACTAAATCGCCGCTGGCTGACAGACTAACTTATTAATTACCTATCTAGCTAACTAACTAGCTATTGAATTAGTATCTAACCATAGTTATAGATTAACTATGATCTAACAAACCAACTAAAAACCTGTAGGACATTGACTGGAAACTGAATGTTTCCTAACTGAGAAAGTGAATGTTTACGCTCGCTCACACTGGCACCTCCGCCTTTCGATTCCACCATATCTCTATACCTCTAGACAGTTAGAAGAGGAGGAATAAATCCCGGGAATAAATACTCTATTAACTATGCTCTAAACTATCAGACTGACGAGCTTTATGCAATTCCTCAGTATGCTTCCTTGGAAAAGATTGACTTCCGGTCACTGTATAGTAACTTCTAGTTCAACTGTGAACTAAGGGGACGATTTGAACTGCTTCTTGAGCTTCGATTCAGTCATAGTTAATATAGTTAGTCCCCTCTATTAACTATGATTCAGTTCAATGAAACGAATTGCAAATCTTGAAGGATGAGACTATGACGTCAGTAGTTAACGCCCCAGAGGTCATCTCCCAGAAAAAATTGTGACGTATTTCCGGTACAGACAGCTAAAAAAAGCCCCAATAAGGTAGAAGTTTTATTCATAATTTAACGCCTTCATGCAACAATCTATGATTGTTTTCAGGTAATTTTTCAGAAAGGAAACCAAGAGAACTGTAATCTGTAATACAATAGACATCGTTACAGATGGAAGAGGATTTTGTTTTCCGTGTCGTAATGAATAACTGTGAAACCAAGAAACTGTAAAAACGGTGAAGCAGAATGATACTGAACCATCGTAGAGGTGCTATACCAGGATAAATATTTATTCATCCTCGGGAACCAGAGCGTTTTTCAACGCACTCCCCTACACATCACCTCCCCCTCCCTCACTAGCACGCCTTTCTGGGTATCTGGGGGGGGNGGGGGGGAGGAGGTGGGCAATCATATTATATATACAAGGGCGGGGATGCTCGACGTACCTTTTAGGGGTTAATTTTTGCCATTTGGTAAATTTTAGGGTGTTTAAGTGAAAAGCTAATTAAAATGCTGTAAATTAGGTCATTTTGGTAACAATTAGAGATGTAACTTGTCACTTTTATGACTACAAGAAAGGAATATGAACTTGCAAATCAAACAATTTCTCAGTAAGTTTTTTTGCTGGGCTTTAACTCTACACTTATATTTTCGGACTCGACATTGCCGTCTTGGAATCACAATCCGTCGGTCCAGTCAAATCTATATTTGAATCAGTACTTGATGATTGAGGTACAAGCGTGACTAACAGCACGCTTTATGGACATGGCTTGGCATTTTAATGGTTTTTCTTTTATTTATACTTTTTCTTTCTTTCTTTCTCCCTTTTTCATTTCTGACACTATTTTTAGTTAGTTTTCAAAATCCAAGAACTGTGTTTGTAAGCGCAAGAATCAATCAGTAACGTGTACATATGCACGAAAACATATGAAAGCCATTGTGCTGCCGGTAAAAAGCCACCAAACTGAAGCTAAGGCCGGGTGAATGGAAGAATCCATTTCATTGTCATGGTTAGCAAAAGCTACCAGCGTGCACGTTCGGGGTTACAGCCAGTGTTTGAATACAGGGCTACAAAATAACTAGAAAAAAAATTACCTGACATTCATGTGCACAAAAAACAAACAAGACTCGGCATTCATTTTATTTCCTATCCACTCAATCTGGTTTGATTTTCGATAACTTAACCAATCGTAAATCAAACTAGATCACAAAATGACTAGAAAAATATATCTGATATCCATGTGCACAAAACAAACAAGACTTTGTTCATCTTATTTCCTTAAACGACTCTAAAAGGGAAAACGAGACTTTAACCGATAAGTTTTATCTTTCATTCCACTTTATCTAGTTTGACTTTTGAGTGACCCATCTGTGGAAATAGTAAAGCTCTATAATCCACACAAGGCATCCAGGCATCTAAAGAACCACAAAGCTCACCGACAATTTAAAATCCATTGCCTGGAGAGTTTCAGGAAACAAAGTCAATGGTGGCTAAAGGTTAATCTTGTCTATTGCATCATTCCAAGGTTCAGAAAGATTCAGGATTTTTTTTCTTTCAATCTCCATGGGCACGTACGTCCTTGTAGCATGTAGGTCAGACGTACATGCCCTGCAAAGAAAGGCACAACGTAGGTGGCGGTATGCCCGGATGAGCTGGAAGAAGAGAAAGAAAGAAAATTAGAACAGAAGGAAAGACACCATGTACAAGGCGAGGGACTAAAATTTTTCCCTTTTAGGGAGAATTAATCTAGGGTTCCTTTTTACTCACATATGGTGATTTGCGTCAAATCTTCCTTCAGTACTCTCTTTAAACTCTTGAATACAAAAACAACATTTCCTACTGTTGAGAAGACGAAATGAGACCAACAGACTGTATATTCTACCCCTGACTTGTAAATCCGTTTCTTTCATTCTTCTTTGAAATCTTTTAACTAAAGAAAACACCAAAGGATTACAGTTTATTGCTGCAACAACGATACCTCATCGAAGCAGTATTTAGAGCCTGCGAGACGCCGGGACGATGACAAGTACTTTGACCCTTGAAGGCGCGGGTAGGGATTCTTTGATCACTGAGRGGAAATGCATCGTGCGTAAGATCGCAAGTCACTTCCGTAACACCAGCTGAAACTATTATATATTTAAACATTCTCTTATTTCAGTCTTTTCCTTTCACTTTCTTGAAGTGTAGTTAAGGTTCGCTTGTGTTATATAAATTTTTGAACTTCGTGCATCTTAGAAATCATAACACAAAGTAAGCCAAGGTAAGCACTGAAATCTTTTTGGATTAATACATTAAAAATAGTTGTGAAGTGTGTTTTTAGCGATAACTGTGTTGAAAGGGATAAACTTCCTTTACAACCACCATAATTTCCTTTAAGGGCCTGAAACCTTGCAGTAACTGCAACCATTGTTTGCTTGTTCCGTTTGTTCTCTTTCCGTCCTCCCACGAAATAAAGGATTGCCGCCAAACGAACATATATAATTCATTTGCAGATCGATTGTGCACAAAACGACTATTCAAGCCACCAATCGTCTTGCTACATTATCTATACAGAGAAAAATACTGGACAAACGCAACGTTTAAGGTGAGTGAAGTTGATCTTATAAAAGTACTTCATAACCAAACATTTTGGTCTGTGATAGTTATATATAATTTTCGTTTTAAGGATTCTCTTCTCTATTGCTATAGAAAATTTAACTATGAGTGTTTGTATGTGCGTCGCCGGATGTCAGTCACTCAGTGACTTACGAATGTATCGGTTGAACGAAAAAAAAATTCGTATCGAACAAATCTTTTTTAAATACTGATTCAGTCATAGAATGAAACTTTATAAACTTATGCGAATCGCTGTATCGAAGAAGCTAGTCAGTAGTGGAGTCTCCGAGCTCAGTCAGCTCAATCATATTACCAGTTAAAATCGTTCTACGTCCGTCCTGTTAACTCTTTTTTTTTTTTTTTTCTCTCGTTTCAAAAAAGGCTCTTTTTTTAAAAAAAGTATTTTATCTTCCGTTGGCCTGATCTTCAAGGGATTAATTGTTTATCCTATTTTGCCGTAGGTATGATTACTCAAGAGGTAAAAACAAAAGAAAACCCGTATAACTATTTTTTTTAAGTATGGCCACAATGCATGATTACTTAAAATAATAGCATATGTGATTTTTATATTTTTATTTTCACCACTATAATTATGATTCACCACTATTTTACCAGGAGACGTTTCTTTTTGCCTCTTTTCTAGTGCTTTCTTGCATTTTGCGCAGCGTTCAAGTTTTTATGAAAACGATCGATATTCTAAAGACAAATGGAGTCAAGAAAAATCAGGATAAAACGAACAGCGTACAGGAAAACACGCTCGCAATCTATTTCCGTGACTTTTGTCATTAATGTAAACGATTCTATTCTAAAGAAGAGAAAAATCGAGATAAAACGCGCCTATACTAGAATAGCGCAGCGCACTGATTCTAAAAATAGCTTAAAGATTCGGACAAACATTGCATTCTGTTTAACCGCTACGAAGAGTATACGAACCGATTTTGTTATTTTTACTTAAAGTTACAAATAATAACCCATGTAAACTAAGATCAACTGCGATCGGCTGTGAAAATTATCTGCTGAAAGTAAACTTGTAAGTTTGTTTGTCCGAATTTCGCCTTTGTCTTTGTTTTTATGACGTCACGTTCGTTTGAAGCCAAAGTATTCGAAATAAATCTGGTTTCATAACCTAAAGTGTAAATTTTACCGATAAAATATGAAGATTTTGATTTTCAGTTGTTAGCTGCAAAAGAGTATTTTCAATGAGCTCTTGAAAAGGGATGTTTGCCAATATTTTAAAGTCTTTTTATGAACTATAAAGACTGCTTTGTTTGAGAGACTTATACGAGAAAGTTAACAGAACAGATATATAGACCTAAGGTAAGTCGTAGTGCTTAAGAAACCCAACTGAATAATATTTGTAGCACGGTCGAGCTATGAGTGCCAAGTCATTTTAGTTTGCTATTTTTAGTCAGCTACCAAAAGAAGTGGCCTAAGTTATTTTTGAATTAAGGAAGGATATATAATGACCCGTAATAGGATTTGTCCATTCACTAGTCAGATGGCCAGCTCTGATAGATTCCGCACACATCCTCTAGTTTTTTTTTACCAGTCTGATGTGTTGTCTACTGAGGTTAACCATGCAAATAGGAAACGTATAGTATGTATCATCCCACTTTCTTGCTCCAATGCTCAAATGCTCCTTGTATCCCACGAAAAGTTTACGCGGGTTTTTGATTGACAAACTTGATAGCATATTCGGTGTACACACGCAGCAATGGTGTGTCTGATATTGTTAACACAACCTATACTGATTTTAGAACTTTTTCTGCCGTCCATCTCATTTCAACCCCCTCGCCATCCCCCTCGGGTATGAATGCTAAATATCGTATGATAAAACTCAGCCGAGTCAAGTCTTCCCACGCATCAACAGAGAAAATCAAGCAATTATAAGCTAACATTGCAAACGTTGCATTCTGGCAACGAGGAGTGACAGCATTTTTTGACGTACGAGTGTCGCATGTCAACTCCAAGTGCAACCAGAAGAAAACCACCTCATCAATATTCAACGAACAAGAGCAAGAAAAGAAAAGAAAATATCAACAGAGAGTTCTGGAAGTGGAAATGGGTTCATTTACACCGCTTATCTTTGGGACCAATGGTGGTATGGGCAAGGAAAGCCAAATTTTCCTAAAAACTCTAGCGGATAAACTGGCGAACAAAACTGGACAAAGCTATTCTGACACAATAACATATATTAGAACAAAGTTGTCGTTTGAGATTTTGAAAGCTGTAATTACATGCATTAGAGGCTCCCGCACTCCTTTTTATAAGAACAACGAAAGTGACTTTCTATTGGACTTTAGCATTAATACTAACCTTGCCGATATTAGATAATTTTAGACTTTTTTATAATGCTTGTTTTTCATTTTGTTTTTTTCTAGTTTTTTGTAAATAGTAACTTTTTCTCTTTAAATTTTCACAAAGTACATAATGTAAATATTCTTTATTATTATTATTATTATTTTTTAATGATTTTAATATTTTATTATCATTATTATTATTATCTTTATTGTTGTTGTTATTATTATTATCATTATTATTGTTGTTATTATTATTAAATTTTATTTAAAAAAAAAAATTATAAGCTAACATAATTGAACATTAGTACAGCTAGTAACCTGTAAAAATCATAACAATCGATGCCATAAAACTAAAGTAGAAAATCAGTAGATAAGACTCGCCGCGAAAACAAAAATAGCACGTATTAGATCCCGTCCACCCAAATTTATCCGGATATTTTTGAAAACGGTTTTTTCTCCTTAGAGAATTGGCCTTGGATTACACAACAGTTGAAAATGGATACGTCGTTTGGACGGGTGAGAACGTTTCCTAAAACGCTACTGAACTGTGGAGGAGTTTTTTTTTTTCTTTTTCTTGAACGAAAAACAAAATCGTTTTCTAAAATATTTGGATGCGTGTGAGCATTTATGGTCTGAATGAAACTTGTCTTGTTGCTTTTAATGCTATCGATTGGCAAAGCTTACTGCAAGCCGATGAATGATGACATTAGAGAGTTTTAGATCGACTTTTTTTCTCCCCGCAAACGGCAAACGTGACCACGTTTTCATCGTTTTCCTGTACTTTACTTACCTTTTACAAACCTTCTCACCAAAGACAAATATTCTTTTATTTTTCTACTACTTGGGCTTTTTTGCGATTCTTTTCAAGCTATTTAAAATAATTTTTAAATGGTCAACTGACGTTTCACGTTTGCCGTGAACGTAAATCTAAAACTCTGTATTTGCAATGCTTTTCCCCAGCTTTGTACTGATATAATTTTGCATTTAGATCTAGTGAACTAAAATTAGTTATTTGTAATAAGACAAAGCCTCTAAAAGTACCAAAACTATGATAATACTTGAAGTTTATCTGTTCAAGAGGGGAAAATCTGCATTGATGAATATCGACCAAGGGTTGTCGGCAAAACTGTTTTTTGTTACGTTTCTAGTTTTTTGTTTGTTTGTTTTTTGTTTTTTGTTTTGTTGTTGTTTTTGTTGTTTTTGTTTTGTTTGTTTGTTTTTTGTTTTTTGTTTATTATTCTTTTTCCCCTCACCCTTTCTCTCTTCTTAATCTAAATACGCTAAGCTTGAAAGCAATTATAGAATAATCAGAGAACGTTATCAAAATTCAAGGATAATTGAACATTAACCGGGTAAATAGGACTGATTGAAAAAGATACCCAACAACGCGTAGGAGGTAGACACAATAAACTCCCCACTCCCCCCATCGTTTATTTTTTATTTTTTAGCTAGTTATGGGAAAACAAGAACATTCGAAGAAAAAAACTAGTTGAGGGAAAGAAACAGGACAAGAATCCCATTTAAAGTTCCTTGATCGATTGGCTGGTGAAATAAATCAATTAGTGACGAGCTTTTGTGAAAATCGTTGGCATATTAATTTCAGTGACTTCAACAATGGTTTTGCTAGTAACTAAAACCATGTTCTCATACTATGAACTATGAAGCTTTGGATGATAGCAACCATACTCAAAGCTATATAATAAGCACAAGAGATGGCTCAGAATTAGAAGCTAAACTTTCATAAAATCATAAAATATCACTCACACACACACACACACACACACACACACACACACACACACACACACACAATTTGCATTGGACACAAATTCTTCCAGCAACATAATTATATTAGCAAATATTTTGTTAAGCAAATGATTCAGAATAGCGGCTACGAAAATATTACAAATAGCATGCTGTTTAACATGCTATACTTGACATAATTTGCTTTTAATATAGTTTACATTTTCGTTTTGTTCCAATTAATTTTTTCTTGTTTTCATTTCGTTTCGTCTCTTTCTTTTCTCTCAGTTTACTTTGGTTTTTGTTTTGTTTTGATGTGGATGTGTAATTTTTTTTCTCAATAGAAAGTTCAGGTAATAATACGTTGAGAAAAAACAAGTGAAAACGTTCGAGTGACCTAGCATTATAATTTATGTATCCTAGACGGTGAAGTAGTACTTAGGCTAATGTCATTATTTTAGGCTTCTAGAATGACTCTAAGTGATTATGCCACTCGATATGCCATGCTTTGTACTATTTAACGTTACTGTGGCATTCTAGACACAGTCGTTGTGGAGTTAAGAATGGAATATTCTCTTTGAAAAATACTCCTTTCAAGTAAGTTATTTCTCTATCTAACTTTTAAAGATATGCTAAGTTAAGTTAAACCTTTTAAAAGACTTGCCTCCCATAGCGGGAAAACTTCGAAACCTGACTGACTTTCTTGTTAAATCTGAAATGTCTAAAACTACATTAATCGCTATTCTTCCAAAATCGCGAGCAAAAGAATAACAATCAAATCCATAGATAGACGACTTATTGAATTCGCTTTTTGCTTAAGAAAAACTGAAGTCCAAGCGAAAGGTTCAAGGTGGTTTTGGTGACTTTAAAGTTTTGCATTCCCGACTTAAGACACGGTATCGCAGCCACACGGAAAATCTTAGTTCCATGTTTAATCTTGATGTAG